CCATCAATCCATCACGGTGGAACTAAATTGTCTGTTAATGGACCACGTGGGAGCTGGTATGTTTTGACATTCTGATTTCATTCAATGTGGCTGTCATCCACACAGGCATGTGTTTTACAGCTTCTGCCTTTACAAGTGTGTCTCCGCTATGTACGTGCACAGCTCTTTCTCAACCCAGTCTTCAGATGCCCATCACGTGGCACCACCAGCGGCCTGCAGCACCCTGTTATGCATGGTGGTCCCCTATCCAAGCACTATCCAGGCTCAAATCCCGCTTTGCTTCTGAGATCCAGGGGACCTAATGGCATTGCGTGCATTCCGTTTGCTTTGGTCATGGGTGTCTCAACTATGAACTGCAGCAAATCACAACTCATGACTCACGTGGATTAATGATCGAGTCATCAGCATCACCACCATCATCATCACTACGATCAACAACACCATCTAAAAGGGTGGTTTGGTTTTTAAGGCGAGTCTTTCAGTGTTCATTGTGTGGATGGAGATGAAAGGCAGCATCCGTTTCACATTTTACTCCCTCATTCACTGGTTTCAACTCTCATGCTTTGTTCTCTACTCCATCATCTGGACTATCCCTACAATCTGACCCCCTAACTAAATCATTGTCTATCATCTCACGCTTTTCTTCGCGTGCTACACACACACGCACTCTCTACCCCAGGGTACATCTACACTCTCTCGTCTGTTCTCTCAACACAGTGATCACTTTAAGTCTACTCAAAGTCACTCCGTCTCTCTCCAACTCTGAATCTTTATTTATCCTGGAGAAATCCGATGAGCTATCAAGCTCTTTTTTCACAGATGTCCTTTCACTTTCTTTCCTCGCTCTCTTTACTCACGCGTGCTCTACACACCCCCTATTCTGTTTACTCTCTCTCCTCTGGGGTATCTTTGTCCACTCCCTCAAACTCAACACTCTCCTTTTTTTACTCTCCTCTCACGCTCTACTCTATTATAGTGGCATTGGCTATTCTCTCACGACCTTCTCTCCTCTATCACTGTACTCTGTAGTCAAGAGCTGTCACTGAGTAGGATTGGGGGGGGGGGGCGACGGGAGAGCTGTGTACACGTGGAAGAGATGGATGAGGGCAGGGGGGGGGGGCTCGAGACTGACACGGGGAGAGAGAAAAAAACAAGACACGGCCAGCCAGGCAGTGATAAACAAACACACACACAAAGCACGACAGAGACACGGCGAAGGACACCGTGGCACGGAGACACAGTGGCGCAGAGAGATACATACACACGGGGAAACAAAGAGGGCGACACAAGAACAGAAGACACACAGGGACACGGAGGGACATGGAGCGAGACCAACACACGTGCGCATCGAAAGCACAGTTACGGGACCTTTTGGCAGTATCCAAATAATGAACAAAAAATTGTGTAAAAGATCCCATGGATGTAACTGCTCAACCCGAGCTATGAATAATGTACTTTCATACTTGCATTGACTTTGTGCTGTTCGCCTGTTGGCGTCCTCGGGCCTAACTAACACTGGTGGTGAGACATGGCCATAACATCAAGGCGGTCTCTGGTGGAGGCCAATGAAGTTCAAAGACAATGCATGCATCATGATCATCGGAGCATGATTGGTTGCATGTTTTTGCCACTAGTATGTGTGGTTAATGCAGCCTTGATTGCCTTGCAACAAATTATCTATTTGGTGGTAGAACATCGTAAAACTTTCTTTTTTATATCTAGATTCAAAACGAATTTCTTTAAAACTGCTTTTGGTGTTTCGTTTGTTGACCTTCCCCCGCACCTCCGATTGGCACGATTGGTCTGCCTGCGTGCGGTGCAGATAAAGAAGTTCAACATACACACAGAAAGGCTGAATATACTCTTAGTTTTTTCGGTAAAGTCACGTAGGTAAAACATTAAATTCAAAATAATAAATTAATTTTAATTTCATTTTTTATGAATTTTAATTTCATTTTTTACCTACGTGACTTCACCGAAAAAACTCAGAGTACGAATCCTTGCAGTCACGAAAGCTTCAAATCTAAAAGAAAGGCTGAAGCCTATAATTATTAATGTTTTTGCTTCAACAGAAAGTGGAGTCTCCACGTTCTAGACCAGGGGTCGGCAACCAAAATAACAAGAAGAGCCATTTCTTTCCAATTCGGTACAAAATTCAGTATTTCAAGAGCCGCAATGCATCTGAGTACATACTATACATACGTACATATCGTCAAGAAGCAGCCCGTAAAGAGCCGCATGCGGCTCCGGAGCCGTAGGTTGCCGACCCCTGTTCTAGACCCTACCGCTCCCTCCTCCCCCTCTCATGCTCCACTCCGAACCCACACGAGCGACAGACGTGACCGAGCCAGCATCCATTGCCTCGCAGTGAACACAAAGACGACAAAAAAAACAACGATTCCACCCCACCCCCCTCCACCTTCGGCCCGGCATATAGCCCTTCAAGAGACCGACTGAGTGCTGTTTGCGAGCACCTATTAAGGACAACTACTGATGTTTACGCACCGCACCGGGCACTCGTTCGAGAGGACGACGGAGTCGATCTCGGGGAGGTCCTCGGACACCGGGTTCGGGGATGTTGGCCACTGGTGGTGAGTGGCGAGTGGCGAGCGGCGGTGCGTTAACCACTGCGCCACCGCTCCCCTCCAGAGAGAGAGGTGGGGTGGTGTGGCACATCCACTGCGCGCGATCCAGAGTTGGGGTTTGGGTGAGGCCACGTAGGTTAGGGCTTGTCCCAAAAGCCTTTGTCGTGAACCCTCCACCACCCGACGGGATTGTCACGCTGACAGGCAGTGGTGAGTTGTATTTTTGTATTATTATTTAGACTGCACGTGCCCAATTGCCGGGTGGTGGAGGGGTTAAATGACACGAATTATGAACTAAAACAACGGTGGTGGCCTACCCCCCCCCCCCCCCCCCCAAATTTCAAGGCGCACGGATCACTACGTTAGCGACGAAAGCCTTCGCTTGAAGTCATCTGCGACACATGTAGAGAGGGCTTTCTCGATCCACTGCTGGTCGACACCAGCCGCGTATTGGCACGACACACTCCGGGCAGCAGGCAACAGTTCCACACAGTGCAGGTTTATTTCCTTGCAGGGTATTTCCTGACCTGCGAAAGCACGTGTTGGACTTCTTTCGCACCGTACGTAGCCAACCGTGCCGATCGGAGTTGCGTGTGTGTGCATTCAAGGCACATCATTCGGCGCGTATTCGCGTATGCGTCGTTCAATAGCCGTTCACTAAGTGCAGTATACAGCGCTGTATCGTCCCAGTGAATAATTTAGTGCGTAATTATAACTGTAATATTACCTCTCTGCACGCGTGGCTGAATAACCCAAAAGTGCTTGTGCTGCAATGTACGGAGGAGACATGGGTCGACTCAGCAGCGGTGTGTAAACATCTACTACTCGCTAACAGTACTTGCCCCCAGTCTTGTCACAGGCTACACGGGGGGTTGGGTGATCTTTGTCTTTGGAGTAGATGGCACACCTAAGGAATGGCACACGCTATCCTGCAGGGCACTGCCGATTCACAGCACGAACAATGCACTCAGCTCTACATACCTCCTCACTACTACATCATTACTTGGGTTTTTTTTTGTTTGGGGTTAGGGGCCGTCCATAAATGACGTCACGCGATTTTGGAAGATTTTTGACCCCCCCCCTTCTCCTTCGTCACACGGCGTCACAAAAAGTTAGACCCCCCCCCTCAAATATTACGTCACAAAGCTCTGCCCCCCCCCTCCCCCACAAAAAATATAAAACATGCTTCAAATCGCTGTAAACTATTGTCATTGTAGTGCGTATTTAATGTGGCGCTGCACTCTGATGTTGTAGGAGAAAACATTTATTAAAAAGGCTATGTAATTAAGTAGAACGTGTTGTCTATTTGCATTTAAAGTTGCGCATTTTGATGTGACGTCACATTTCTCAAACTCCCTCCCCCCGTCGTCACACATCGTCACAAATGTCTGACCCCCCCAGGTGCGTGACGTCATTTATGGACGGTCCCTTAGATTGCGTAACTATTCTTGGTTCTTTCGGTAAAGTCACGTAGAAGGGAAACAATAAAATAAAGCAATCATCACACCTGATGACAATTGCTTGTGTTGCAATCGAAACGTCGTGAGAATATATTTTTATTATTTTATTGTTTATTGTTTCCCTTCTACGTGACTTTACCGAAAGAACCAAGAATATGAATGCCTGCAGTCACGAAAGCTTTAAATCAAAATGTATAAATGTGTCGTTAAACCAACCACCACCCGACACAGCCAATGAGTCAAGGTTTGCCACGTAAACAGAACGTGGCCAATTCGTCACTAGCACAGCACTAACCGGTGTGTTTGGAGAGCAAATCCACAACATTTACAATCCAGAGTACGACGTTTCGCCGGCAATTACAACCGACATCATCAGGCGGACAGCCAGAAATCCCTGTATTATGATATTATGGATGATATTGGTCGCGAAAGCCTACGGTGTTAAACTCCCCCACTGCTGTCTGCACCTCGCCAGCATACACACCACAAAGTTCTTCGCCTGTTACACTGCCCCACTACCACCACACACACACAAACACCCTGGTGATCTCCTCCCCTATATACATCTCAGCCAAACCCCTGAAACAACAACGCACCGTACATGCCCCCCAACACACACACACACCTGATGAAACTATTTCCCTTAGGTATCTCACTTAGCCCAAGTCCCCAGTGCGTGCCCCGCCCTCCACCTGACAAACCTATGTTATACAGTACTTCTACGTGCCTTCCCCTCCCAACAAATCCTAACTTTGATGCCCCCCCACTCCGAGACACAGCTTAACCTGAGTCCCACCAACCTGATCAAGCTTTCACCCTGGGTGCACTCCCGTTAGCACGACCCCCACGTGTGTCCTCGATTACCACCCACCACCACCAAATCGATAAAACTCTTCGCTGGCTTTATCAGCTGATGCCCCCCCCCCCACCCCAATCGACTTCGAGGTCTGCTCACCTTGTCCAGGCAGCTGAGCTTCTCGATGGGGTAGACCGTCTTGCTGCAGCGGGCACACGGAGGGTTCATGGTCGACGCTTTGTTGGGTTGCGAACAGCAACAACAACAACAGCAGCGGCAAACTCCGCCACAAACTCGTTACACTCCGCAGATCTGCGTGAAGAGTACAGAGAGGGCACACAGATGTCGTTTACGCTACAGATGTGTGTGGTTGTATTGCTATGGCCGTGTGTGTTGCTGTTGTGTCTCGCTCGAGGTGAGTGCAGCGACTGCGGCTGTGTGCGTAAGCGTGGCCCGTACGTGTCGCTGTGTTACAGCTGCGTGTTCATAACTCGAGTTACATAGTTGCGTGCGTGTCGATGTGTTACAGCTGCATGTTTATAACTCGAGTTACGAAGTTGCATGTTAATAACTCGAGTTACGCAGTTGCGTGTTTATAACTCGAGTTACGCAGTTGCGTGTTTATAACTCGAGTTACGCAGTTGCGTGTTTATAACTCGAGTTACACAGTTTCGTGTTTATAATTTGAGTTATGCAGTTGCATGTTTATAACTCGAGTTACACAGTTGCATGTTTATAACTCGAGTTACGCAATTGCGTGTTTATAACTCGAGTTACACAGTTGCATGTTTATAACTCGAGTTACGCAGTTGCGTGTTTATAACTCGAGTTACACAGTTTCGTGTTTATAATTTGAGTTATGCAGTTGCATGTTTATAACTCGAGTTACACAGTTGCATGTTTATAACTCGAGTTACACAGTTGCATGTTTATAACTCGAGTTACACAGTTGCATGTTTATAACTCGAGTTACACAGTTGCATGTTTATAACTCGAGTTACACAGTTGCATGTTTATAACTCGAGTTACACCGTTGCGTGTTTATAACTTGAGTTACGCAGTTGCGTGTTTATAACTCGAGTTACGCAGTTGCGTGCGCGACGAGGCACTCTCATGCGTAACAAGTTGCACGGAGCGATCGCCGTGCGTTAACTACGTCCGCCGATTTTTAATGTTTTTTTTTGTTTGTTACACACCAATAGCCGTCGCACGGCGTGTGTCTCTCCAACTACTAATAGCTGCGGGTGTCTCCAATTATCCCTCTGTGCGCACGCTGGCGTGTGTGTGTGTACAACTACAGCCGTGTAGATAACGTGCGTGTGTGTGTGCTTACCTGTTGTGTGTGTGTCTATGCGTGTGTGTGTCTATGTGTGTGTGTGTCTGTGTGTCTATGATTGTGTGAATTCCTTACCCCTTTGCCGAGCAGATTCCGATTCGCCCCCCGACTGCAGCTCGCTGGAACCGTCCACGAGTGCGTGGTGGACGTGTGATGTGTGTGTGTGTCCAACTACAGCCCTAGATAACACGCACACGTGTGTGCGTGCGTGCGTGCGTGTTGCTGGTCTCTGTGCGCTGTGTCTCTCTTCTTGTAGACACTCAAAACGTATCTCCCTCCGTGTGTCTCTCTGTGTGTGTTGCTGGTCTCTGTCTCGCTCTCTGTGTGCCCGTGCAGCGGAGGGAGGAGAGGGAGAAGAAGGAGAAGCGAGAGGGAGTCGCCGAGGCCGGCGCAGGAAGTGGCGACACCCCCCGACTCCACCCGCTCGGGCGTGGAGGCGGAGGAGTGGACAATGGCTCCAAGTGCACCTAGCCTGGCACGGGGGTGGGGACGCGTCGCGATAAGTTCGCGACGGCTGGAATTAATAACTTGACACCGTCGCTGCTGCAATTGTTCAATGCGTCGGTTCTTTTTTTTTTTTAGGGTTTTTAATTGTTTTGTTTATGAAGGCGAGAAGTTGCGTGCGCCATTTCACGGCGGTGGTAGTCGGGTGGCAGTGTGGGAATTCACAGGCGTGAATCTCCACTGTTGTTGTTTGGTGATGATGTTGTTGTTGTTGTTGTGTGGTCCAATGTAGCAGCAATGCACCCCACCCACCACACCGCCCTGTTGTTGTTGCTGTCCTGTTGTTGTTGTTGTCCTGTTGTTGTTGTTGTGACGTTGTACTCATGGCTTCCATTCGTCAATCTCACGCCCTCCTCTGGCCAAATCCTCGCATTGAGCCAACCGCTCGATGCTGAACCGGAGGCATTTTTTTGTTTTTAAAAAGGGTGCGATTTTAATGGAAGGGCATTTGTACGTGTACTTAAAAAAAAAACATGTTCTGGAAGGGATAGAGAAGAGGGTGGGTGGCTGCTGATACATTTGGCTGAAATATAGACGAGACTTCTGATTCTAAGTGTGGGGGGAAATCCCGAAAACCTAAAATTGTGCGATGTTGACCCCAGCCAAAAAAACAATGGTGTGGTTGCACTCATTGGCAAAGTCTGCCGAAACTTCTGGCTTGTTTTCATTCTCGTGCTGAGTTGGTGAAAATACAATCACCATCAGTGAACCCGCGGAGTAGTCAGTGTGGGTGAGGTGTGATCAATCAGTCTTCTATGGCTTTAATCTAAGTTGTCTTGTGGCCTTAATCTAAGTTGTCTTGTGGTGGTTGTTGTGGTTGTTGTTTGACTTGCATCCCACTGGGATTTTTGCACAGCGTTGGTGTACAGTGCTTTTTTTCTGGAAGACTTTGCAGTTTTTTCCTGGATTTTTCTGTTTGCGCATAGTCACTATAAGATGTTTTCTTGTTCATGTTTTTTGTTTGTTGCGGTTGCACCCGATTCAAGAACCGAATGGCTCACAGGGCTATACCAAATAAATGAAACTGAAAATTACTGCCAAAACAGTGCCAGGATGCCTCTATTCGGCAAAGGATTGGCAAAGGGCAGCAAGATAATATTTCACGTTAAATGGCAAGTTAGTGACCGGGTTAACGACCATTGTTTACACAATGGGTAAACAACCCTACAGGCATATGTATGTATGCGTAGTATATACAGTACTGTACTTCACATTTGTATCAGTGCTCCAACACGAACCAATGCTACGTGCAATATACCCCAGTGGGAATGGTGGACATCACATGGGAAGTAATACAGATATGGTCAAACCCAAAGATAATAATAATGTTCATCTCGTTGAGGGCCTCTCCACGCCGTGTCGATCATGGAGTTATTTGACCATACTTCACCACGCTGGTCAATGCGGGTTTGGTGAAAGGAAAGTGGAGTGCCCTAGGTTTTGTTCTGATATCAAATTGACACTCATTCTGGGAATCAACAAACTGTTGTCGTGTTTCTCGATAGCTGATCTTTAACGGCCATTCAAATCTTTCCCGACGTGAGCATTTACTGAGGTTGAACGCTGCATGAAAGCTCCTTGCCTTATATCAGCCCTGCAGGAATGCGGTATGCAATCACAAACTCCATGCATACTACAGAGATACATTTTTTAAAATCTCATCTTGCGAATGCTTATGCACTGTTTAACATGTAGTTGTACAATATATTGCACTAATTAAGTCGAGCAGCATTACATGTTTGTAAATTCCAGGAAATTCCATTTGCTGGAATGTACAACTACAGTATTTCCTTCAATGCTAGCTGGTGTGAATGTGCGTGCATGCCTTGCCAATACTGTACCCCTTTGTGGGAAAACGTAAATTCAGAATTCATTGGTAATAATTACGATCAAATATAATAATTTGCAGCCCTTTGTCAATTCACTTTTGGATGAAGTCCTCCCCACACCGTATCACACATTGGTGGAGGGTTGTGATCATACTTCATTACAATGATCACACAGTACTGCAGTAATAGCCAAATGTACGCCTCCCCCTTTTACGGTGTTTCGCAAATACGTCGTGACTTTATTAACACCGCTACCCGATATGCACCGCCTCACTCCCACACTTACGTCGCTGACAGCATTGCCCGTCCTCTCTCGTATCCGTCGCCTCTCAGCCTTTGCCTCCACGTACCCTGTACATTGCTTTGAATTACGTCATTTCGATATTCGTCGTGGCACCTTTCAGGAACGCATCCCCGACGTAAACCGATGTATTACTGTAATTGAGTATTACGCTGTATTGTATGAATGCCATGTTGTCATAAGTGGCTGTGCGGTAGTGGGAAGCAGAGGGCAGAATAGCAAAATGCATTGTACTACAATTCTACGCTCCAACATTTATGTTGCACACTTTTACCAACTCGGTCCGATTCTGTTTCAACCATTACCCATTTGTACATAACTACACCAGTAACAGACTGTTAACATTTCCCATAAGCAATCCACCGCTTGATTACCATAATGTAGACATTTGGAACATTCGTCTTGGTTCTTTCGGTAAAGTCACGTAGAAGGAAAATAATAAAAAAATAAAAATAAAACATAATACAAATAAAACATAATAAAATAATTCTCACGACGTTTCGGCCACAACGCAAGCAGCCGTCTTCAGGTGGAGAACAGGTCTGTCGAGAAGGCAGAGTCTCGACAGACCTGTTCTCCACCTGAAGACGGCTGCTTGCGTTGTGGCCGAAACGTCGTGAAAATTATTTTATTATGTTTTATTTGTATTATTTTATTATTTCCCTTCTACGTGACTTTACCAAAAGAACCAAGGAGATGAATCTCTGCAGTCACGAAAGCTTTAAATCGAAATTTAGAACATTGTTTACACTTCAAATGCTGTCATTTTGGCCAAATTTATATTTTTAAGACATTAGCCATGACGTGTCATAATTTTCTGTTCTTTGATATTCAAACCATTTTACTTGATTTTAAACGAAGGGTTGAGGCAATATTGGTCGAACTTCTGCAGCTTATTTTGTTTCATGTACAAATGTTTGTTTCCTTAGGTGCGTTACAGTTTGCTCTCTTCCAGCAAACAAGGCCTTATACCATAAACTCTTAGCCTTCGTCCAATGGGAGGCGGTTCCTTCTCTGCTACTGTCCCTTCTTCCAGCCATCTGTACTACAAATTCTCTCTGACTTTGTTTAAGTCAAGGTTCAAGCCCTTCCGCTTCTCCTCTGGCTGTTAACGACTCATTATTAAGTGTCTTCAACCACACACACGTTACTTTTAACATATATAACTCCCTTTTTGAAAGGCTCTGTAAAGTCTCAGTCTGCGTTGATTAGTATCTGGAGATTTGGTTGGATTTAGACACCACTGTATTTATATCTGCATCGTTGTTTGTATTGCAAATAAAGTGTTTTTATGGCCTTTCTTGAATGCTTTGAATAACATCGGTTGACCTCGAACGGATTATTTTGTTCAAAGAAAATGACAATAGTGTATCATAATCCATGCCAATTTTAGCAAAGAATGAATGAGCTCAGGAATCCAAACTATTACAACAACAAAAATGCGATTCTTTAAACAAGGCTCAAAACTATACAGTTATATCCAGGGCTTAACTTTGGCTGGTTATTTATGGGTCGGCGATCTGAAATATATGTTTTGCCTGGAACACCACATCCATCATACCTCTCGCTATGGCTGTGGCTAATAGTCACATCCTTAGGGGTGCAGCTGTGGCAAGATGTTATCTCTCTTGCCTGTTATGCAAGATGTCGCGGGTTCGATCCTGACCCTAATGCCTGAATATTTGGAGTTTGCATGTTCTCCAGATCCTCCAGTTTTCCCTCCACATTTATACACATGCTTTTCGAGTATATGGCTGAAATACATTTCCATACATTAGGCCACTTCGTTGAGCTATCATTTGTGCTCAGATCGCTTCTAAAAACGAGCTATATAGCTCAGTGGGCCTTAACTGGTAAAATTAAAATAGCTTAGCTGAGTTTTACCCCAACTTACCACTGACCCAGTAAATGTTACGTGAGAAACTAAGCCCTGCTTATGTATTTTAAATATTAAAGGCAATGAACTTCTTTTTAAGATATGGGTTGGAGTACGACGTAAAATTACATGATACAAAACACAATAATATAATCGTTGTGAATATAAGTAGCAATACATCATGTTTCCCAGGTCGGGCCAACATCTGAGAGTTTGAGGCCAGTCACTGAGATCATGGCGAGTGGTTGAGTGGGGCATTACGTAGGGAGGGGCTGCCAGCAAGCCACGTGTCACGGTTGAGCCTGCCAGAAATGCCGTAGCCCTAAGCCAGTCCCACGATGAACGTCGTGCCCGTCACTGCTTTGCTCTCCCCCTCTAACGGCAACCACAGGGAGAATTAAATGGTCCGGCCGCCAGACGGCGCTGTGAACGGTGAGAGCACCGAGTAGTGGAGTAGTGGAGTGAGGGTCAGTGATAAGGTTATTATAAATCTAGCCGGGTTGTGGCTTTTACCACATTATCCTTGGCTGCCCACAACATAGCCTCCTCACATTTGGATCAAGAAAAAACACTCAAATGTGACCTTCCTGCTTTACTTCACTCTGGCTGCTTGTTAGAGTGTCCACGAACACATTCATTCGGAGGGAGCTGGTAGGAACGTTGGGTTGCTCGGTCAATGGCCAGGGTCAACGGCGGCGTGGTGTATTCCGCAAATATGCCCGACTGTGAGGGCGGGCACAAGCCGGCGTGAGTAGGTTAAACGTTGAGTTTTATAAGGGCACCACGGGGTGACCAGCCCCTCCCCACCCAGCCCCACCCTCCCCACCCAGCCCCTCCCCACCCTCTCCACCCTCTCCACCCAGCCCCTCCCCAC